AGTCTTTTCACAAGTTTGCACTGAAAGAGGTCATCAGTAACTTAAATGTGGCAGTCCGGTTTCCCCTGCCTGGTGGGGCACTGTTTCATGGAGTACATGGGGCCACAATGGCTTAAGAGGATGAGGAGAGGGCCTGTGGATCTCTGATCTTTCTGATAGGTCCTAGTGGTGCATTTAAGCACACTGCACATTACAATCTCAGAACTGTGATACAGAGATGGTAAATCATATGTGGAAAGTTATAAAAACTAGAGAGACTACACAGAAGTGGCAGTCTGCCTTCATGCATCAAATTTCAGAATCAGAATCATGGCCATTCTCCCATCCTGCGACTTTTTTCCTCACTGGTATTTGCTGTAGTGTGAGGAGAAGCAGTGGTGTTGATGGTTGCTGTCCTGCAGGGTCCTCTTCTCTGGTGAATCTTCCTAAACCCACACATCTCTCCAGCTGTGCCGTGGCATCCGTGCCCCTCCACTGTCTTGTGCTCCACGTGGCTCCCTCTTGCTCAGCTCATGTCATCTGATTGAAGGGGTGTTTCATGTTTGGAAGGAAGGAAGATATAAATATGAATAGTCTGATTTAATACAAAGGGCAATTAACTACAGAAATATCAGATGACTTGCCTAGAACTCAGAACAAGTTAATTTTGGAAGCAGGTTCTTAGTTCTGGGACCGTTATTAATATTTCATTAATAAGATTAGTAATAAATGACGGTATTAATATTGTATGAATGTCTAATTATGAATGTAGGTGTATTGGCCATATAGCATTTATTTTGGAAGCAACATCAAAAGTATGCTGAGCACCTCACAGTGACAAAGTCTTTGCCCTAAGTATGTCATAGGACAATGACAAAAGCACAAGGATACCTTAGGATAGAAAGGCAGAGAGGTCAGTTATGTAGCTGTTCGCTAGATTTTAGCAAACATTTTTAAGGTATTGCTACAGATGTATAAAAGTCTGGTTTACTACTGTTCAAGTGGATTTTTTATATCAGTAGTAGCAAAAACTGTAATAGTTATTACTGAACACTGTGGCCAGTCATTGACCACAGTACTTCACATGGCAACTCAGCTTATCATCTTTAAAATAGGAATAATATTTATCTACATTATCTCAAAGCTTATATTTATTAGTGTCCTTCTGGATTATTTTTGTGATTAAATAATTTTGTCATGCTTACTAAGATTTGATCACACAGATCTTATTTTCAGAACTTTTTGTTGTTTTGTTTTTTATTGTCTGCAAAACAGTCAAGTCCTAGTTAAAGAGCAAGCGTTGATTAATTAATCAAAACCAGCTTGATTTTCTTATGTTCAGGGAAATCTTCAGAACAGCAAGTTGTGGAACTATATTGTTTTGATTCAGGGATCTAAAGGAATAAGGCAGTGAAACTGTGGATGGATTCTGTAAGCAGCTGGCAGATACCCAATTCCAAGAAACACTTTCTAAAATAGTAATAACAACAACAATGTAAAAGCACTGTCTTTGCTCTAACCTTCATTTGCTCACAAGAGAAACATTTCTGGCAGTAGCAAGATCTGTTTTAAGTTTTCACTTGTAGGTAAGATACTTAATCAAAACCTGTGCACTGCCTCAAAAGTTGCTTTGAGCTTACGTTCTTTTAGAAGCCTGGGAGAAAATAGACGGCATCTGACTGATGGGGCTGATTCAAATTTTAGCACTACTTATAATTAAATTATTTATGTTTTGCTTCTTTAATTCCATTGATTTAGTGTCTCATGTCATTATCTTGTAATGAGTCTTTTATTTCATGTGTTCTGCATGCTGTCTTGAAATGGACTTTGTAATGGCAAAATGTGACCCCTAGCTCTGTGATAGTGCATTGTGTCTTGGTTTGTTTTATACACAGTGTCAAGACAAAAATAACAGATCTGTTTGGAAAGTGTGCCTGATACTGTGACACCTCAGACAGATCCCGATGTAAATCGGTGTAACTTCATGGATATTTAACATCAATTGAAGATCTGGCCATGTGCACTGCATAGGATGTATAAAGTGATAAAATGATACAGGTATAAAGTTCATGAAAAGATTTCCTTTGAAAGCAGAAGTAATCAAGGCACAGCAGCAAGGTCGTGACACAGTGCAGTCCCTGCAGACTCCTGTAGTGCCCAAACATTGGCAAGAATTGCATCATAAGCAGTACTCTGGATGCTCTTTTTAGCGTGTACTCCTTGCCAAATCCACAACAAAGTCCGCAGAGGTGAAGCTTTCACAGACACTAGGTGAAGAGTGTCTGTAGAGAAGATTCAGAGATGAGGAAAATAGTGGGCTGAGTTTCAAATTGGAAAGAACTGATGCATTAGGCCTGCTGAGAGAGGTGAGAAAAAGGGTGCTGGCTGTCAAAAATCTCATTACAAACATGTGAAAAGGAGGAGTCAGAGGTGCTATGCTCTCTTTTGAAAGCTTCCAAGCAGTTACTGATGGGCTTGAAGGTTTTAGTAATGAGTGGAGACCAAGTTCTCTGAAGCTACTCATTAGCATGTGTTTTGAAGAACAAATCTATTGAATATTTACCAAGCTGTGCACTTCCAGCCAAACAATTTACGGTTGAATTGCTGCCAGTAGACAAAACATCTGCATGAACTGAACCTCTACTTTAGAAAGCTGCACAACTGAAACAGGTGGACTGGAAGCTAAACCTACAAAAACATGCTGAATAAATGACTTGGGCACCTCCCTAGAAAGGTGCTACTTGCCATGAAGCTCCCCACAGTCCTTTACCTTCCATCAGTAAAGCTTTGTAAATGTTTTACTGTCTGCTTTGGGCATTTGTAGCTCTGGACTATAAGGAGCACTCTTTGCATCAGCACAGTCTGTGTTACCTGCCTGTCAGCCAGGACCAGTCTGGTACAATACGGTAGGCATTTATGGACCATAACTGTTCTGCACAGGTTCTGCACAAGAGGAGGAACATGTCTTGTTTTTTTAAGCCAATAAGCTCACATTAGTGCATCTGCTTGGGAAATAGGAAAGCTGGGCTCAGTATTTTTCTCTCCTTGGAGACACAATCGGACCTTGAATAAGCAGGACAGTGACCTTGTTTATAAAACATTTGTAGGGTTGGAAGGGACCAGAAGAGTTCAGCTCGTTCTTCTTCTGCACTGGGTCATTCTTGGCTTTACAGGTCTTGCACAGACAAGTCTTAAGGTCTTCCAAGAATGACCTTAAAAGCTTCCCAGAGCATCTGTTTTCAATAGATTGCTATCATTACTGTCTGAAAGATTTTTCCAGATTTTCTTCTTGAAACATTTCTTTTGGGTCCTGTCTACTGTCAACATAGAGAAAAAAATTTCAGTAAGTGCAAAGATGGTCACCATCTTCTCCTTCAATTTCCTTTTTTTCTTTTTAGGCTACCCCCTAGTCTTTCCATGTATGTCATGATTTCTCAACTGCTGGTCATTCTTGTTATTTTCCCAATTTATCCTCATATTTCTTGAAGTGGTTTTCCAAATTTAAATGCAGTATTCCTCTTGAACCATTGCCAGCATGGGGTAGAGACGAAAGATTACTTCACGTGTTGCAGAGAGTATCCCTGTTTATCTCACAACAGCATGAGAAAATTACCAGTCTGTCTTGTGCTATTAGCTGCACTTTGCATGGAATAACAGTTAGTTCCGAGGAAGTATCAGAGTGGTTCTGTAGCCTTGGAGTTAGTTAAGTCTTCTCAATTTCATATGCCCACCCAAGCGAGTACTTAAGTATGTTCTATTCTTACTGGCATTTTACCAGATTATACCAGGGGATAGAAATAGCTTTATAGCATCATGTCATTTAAAGTGTATATAGAATCATAGAATCGTTTAGGTTGGAAAAGACCTTTAAGATCATCCAGTCCAACCCTTAACCTAACATTACCAAGTCCACACTAAACCAATTAAGGGTAGACTAGACTAAACCATGTCCCAAAGTGCCATGTCTACCTGCTTTTTGAATGCTTCCAGGGATGGTGACTCCACCACCTCTCTGGGCAGCCTGTTCCAATGCTTGACTACCCTTTCCATGAAGAAATTTTTCCTAATATCCAAGCTAAACCTCCCCTGGTGCAGCTTGAGCCCGTTTCCTCTTATCCCATCGCCAACTACTTGGGAGAAGAGACCAACACCCACCTCACTACAACCTCCTTTCAGGTAGTCATAGAGAGCGATAAGGTCTCCCCTCAGCCTCCTCTTTTCCAGAATATATGGCATTTTCAATAATATTTCACTTCTTGCCTCATTTGATATACTAATTTGCAGTAAAGGCTGATTAGATGAGTCCTTCAGATGATCCAGGAGACAGATAGTCTTTAGTGTCAGCCAGAAATGAGAGAGATACTAAGCTTCTATAGTAGCTTTGGCTAATCATTGCTTTTCTCCTGTGTGAAAGGGGAGAGTGTCATATTTGAAAACTCCTTTCTTTAGAGAGAATATATGTGTGGATTACAGATAGAATTGAGAGAGTTAAAATATTTTTCTATAGCTTCTCAGAGCTGTAATTGATTTCAGATTTTAAAATGTGTTGTTTCCACTCTGCATATCATTAAAATAAAATACTAGCATTCATAAAGTTTCTTTGGAAGTGTTTCTTGTATGCTGTGTTCCGTGATGCCTAGAATGTCAATTAAATTCTTGAGAATAATGGTGGAGCAATATTAAAATTAATGAATACTGATCTTTCAGACTACATTAAGAATCTGTTATAATTATGTAATACTTATAATACATGTGTGGTTATAGCTTGCTTCTGTTTGTAATTGTGTCAGCTTCATTCAGAATATGCAATACACTTCCACAAATGGATCCCCTAGTAACGTTGCTGAATTGGCCTGAGTGCAGACACATGGAAATGAGCATAGGAAGAAGCCAGTAAATTTTAAAGCCTTGCTTGTCAGCAGCGTACTGTGGGTTTTTTTCTGTGCTGCATATTGATGTGACTAGGGTTCTGCTTGCTTTTGGCTTTCTGTTCTTAAATAAGGTAAAAGTGCTTGCTACCTCTGGTTTGTTCCCAGATGTCTACCATCAAAACCAGAACCAAACCATTTGCTTGATGAGAATGAGTGGTGGCTGCAACAGAGTCACTCAGATTCTGGCCTATATTGTCTAAATGTCGCTGTGCCCAAATTTTCTTTGAGCGTTTTAGTAGGAACTGCTGGGTCTGTCCTGTCTAGCTTTAGAGCATCTCTGAGATGCAGCACGAAGGAAAAGTAGTGTGGGGTATATGTAGGCTAAAACTTTACTAGAATTGGCGTTTTTCTTGTCCCAGAGCTAAGAAACTTGTGATATATGCCAAGCTTTGATTGTCTTTATACAAAGGGCTAACATCTCTGATTTAAAAAATAGAAAACATCATCGTCTCCCTCAGCAACTGCTCAACAACAATACAACAGCTTTATTTAGAGTTCACTGATTATTTAATAATATTTCTTTTAGATCTGGAAAGATGGTATTTGGACCAGCAAACCTAGGAGAAGGTGCAATAAGAAATTTCATCACAAAGCATCGTTGTAACTCTTGCTGCAGGAGGCTGAAACTTCCTGGTATGCAAAATAAAGATTAATTTTTAATCTATGTATAACTTTTTAAGTGCTAGGAGTAAAGGCCTAGGTGTGCTGTAAAGACAAGAACTGGATTCTATTGAGCTAAAAGTTTATAACAGGTACACTCTCTGTGCAAAGGCGGATGTGAGAATATTGCTCTTTTACCTTGCTCTTTCTCCCAGCAACTGTGTAAGGGTTGGAGCTTATCAACCTGATGTTAGGATTCAGCATTAAAACTTGTACCCATTGAATTGTTTCCTTTGCTTTGCAAAATGGTAGCTCATTTTTCCAGGGTCGTCACTACAGATAACATCAACAATAATTTTTAGAATGAGAAAGAGTAACGATCTAAAAATTGGCAATGCATTAGTCAGGGAAAAACTCACTGGAGGTTTCCTGGCCCTGGGATAGGGTCCTATATGCTGCAGCACTTACTTCTGCTTAGTTGGATTGCCTGTTGTTCGTGTTAGATTTGATAGAATGTGCTTCTGTTTGATGTGGGGCAGATTTAAAAGACTCAAAGCCAAAATAGATTGCTGTGCTGGATGAATTTCCACCCACCTTTTTTTTTTCTAGGGGAAAGCTCCTTCATTGCAGTGCCTACATGGAGCAATAATTGCTGTTTCATTCTGAAACAGAAACTGCAATGTTACTGTTTTTGATTATTTGTGTCTGTGGCAGCTAGAGATAATAGAGGTGAAAATTGGCTGAATTAATACAGTCAGGGAAGGTTCATTCCCATCAGCTCCATTTTGGGTCCCCCCAGGGCTCACATCCCCCTGGCTCTGATTTGCCCTGCTGCAGATTTTCTTCCTCCTGGCAACAGCTAACAAGCTGCCACCAGTCACTGGGTTGGACACTGCCTGGGGTGTACGTGCTTTTCAAACATTTACTTGGCTGCATCATTGAATTTATTTTCTTGCCATAGATTTAAGAAGTGACTACACACTGGAAAGGGTTGGTCCAGCCTTCGAAATAGAAATGGAGACAAGCACCAGAGGAGCTGACGATGCAGATGAGCCTTTGGAGTATGACACGCGGCTGTGAAGTGGTGGCTGTGAGCAGAGCCCATGTGTTTGCATGCTCAAAAACCTGCCCCTTATCACTGCCATGGGTCAGTCCAAAAGAATAAAACACAGGTGTCTGAGTGCAGCATCTGTCTGCCCTTGACAGACCCTATATGCAAGGAATAAAAAAAATTATCTTTATTTACTCCCCTTCCGTGCTCTTGTGCTGGTCTTTCTCTCACAGTTCAGTGAATTGCTAGGAGCAGGTCACCCCTTAGCTGGCTGAACTGTCTCATCAGTGCCTTGGGTTTTTTTTGAAATATGGATTATACTTCCAAGCTGTGCTTTCTTAGGAAAATGACTGTGACAAGCGTATTTCCAAGGGGGAGTGATTTGATGTTTCTCTCTGCTCTTTAGTAAATAACTGAATGTATACAAATGTGCAAATCTTTCGTTTTCAGAGGCAGAGCCCACTGAGCTCCGTGCTCACTTTTCCCTGGGCATAGGAGGCTCTTCAGGAAATTGCAGAAATATTACTTTCTCTTTATTATTGATTTTGGTACAGAGACAAACCAAGAATGTATGAGTAATGAATTAGTGGTTTAAACAATAGTCACTGATATAGAAGGTAGACTGAAAAGTTTCATGGGAGCTTCACCTTGAATTCTTTTCACATACCAAGAACAAGTTGAACAATGCAGGGTTATATTATTGGACCCACATTTTGAGTTGATGAAATTGATAAATCTGTGATCTTTAATATGAACATGAAGAACAACCTTGAACGTGATTCAACTTTTAACCAGGACCTGCCTTTCTTTATAATATTTTTGCTTCAGAATGTTTTAAAGTAGTAATTGGCAACAAAGATTTTAGAAGTCACGAAGAATAGGTTCCATTTGGTATTTAACTTCTTGTTGTAGATGTCAGGCTGTATGTAGGACTTTCATCTAACAATGGTGCAGTTATATCTATGATTTTGCAGCATCTACATCTGTATCTGTTGATGTCATCTGATTTCAGTAGAAGTTCACAAAACATGAAAATCAATTATGTGCAATATGATTTTTCTAGAATAAAGATTGAAATGAAGTACTCAGCAGAAATATCTCCAATACAACTAGTGTTGTATTACAGATGACATTTATCATTAAAGCAACTTTGTACTTTTGTATTGAGTAGAAATACCCAATCTTGAAATGTAAGTCAACAGAAAACTTTTTACTTGAATAAGAAGCAAAATAATATTTCCACCACAGCTGATAGCAAATTTTAATGCGTAAGGGGGCTGTTTGTTATGATCTGTCATTCATTTGGTGTATTCAGAAAATGTATGTGTACACATAGAAATTAGAAGTTCCATGTTCCCAGTTTTTATGTTGTTTATGATTTTGATGATGTCATTGAAGTAATCCCCTACACTATGTTCAGCTGAGATGTCTTCAGTTCCTGAGAGCATCCTGAAGAGATTCTTCTTGCTTTTTATCTTTTAAAAAATAGTTTTATAAGATTATTTTTGTGAAAAACCTCCACCTTTCTCCCTGTTAGATTATACTATTCGTTTTGCAAAAAATGTACTTCCCTTTGGCTTATCTGGAAGCAATTCAATGTATCAGGAGGCTTAACTTGTCTGTGAAAGAGATTGTTTAATTGCATATCTACAGAATGATGGTGGATTTTGATCCCGTTGCTGGTAAGGTAGTAGTTCTGCTTCCAGTGATTATCATCTTCAAATTTGGCTTTAGGGAGATATGTGCATACATACTTTAAAGATATGCATACTTACTTTAAAGACAGAACTTTCTCTAAAGGATCTCTAACTGTTAATATGACTTTAAATTCAGTTAAGTTAAATGACACATAAATGTATCTTTAAAGCCAAGGACAAGGGGCTTTGAGCAACCTGGTCTGGTAGAAGGTGTCCCTGCCCATCGCAGCAGGGTTGGACCTAGATGATCTTTAAGGTCCCTTCCAGCACAAACCATTCTGTGATTCTGTGACAATTTCAGTCCTACCCTGATAGTATTGTTTTCCTCAATCATTGCCATAAATTCTGAACACATATATTGGACACAAAAAATAAACTCCACACCAGGCTAGGCCTGGACACCTTTTGTTTCTTTTTAAGTTTTGAAGATATGCACAAGTCATACTTCAGATGATCTTTTCTTGACAACCCCCCTGTTGTCTTCAAGAGTGAGTGGCTTCTGCATTCATAGCAATACTTATGAGAATTCTTACAGTATATAGTTCTGTGTATCTTACTCGTTCTTGTTTTGTACTCATGAAGGTACATACTACCTTCCCCTCAAATCGGGGATCCTTGCAAGATACTAATCTGTGTTAAAATATAGTTGACATAAATGTGTTTGATGTTTAATTTTGCTCAGTGTGAAGTATTAATGTGATGAAACAACAAAAGGAGGCATTTGAAATTGTTCCATTATATACTTGTATCCTAGCACTAATTTTTCCATGCATGGAATTTGAAAAATTCTAGTGATTCTGCTGGTTAATTAATTTTGCCTCACCTTTCTTTTTGCACTTTTTTGGGAGGGTTGATTCACAGTTCACTAAACTGTAAATTTGGGTATTTGGATAAAGACCTTCCCCCCCCACACACACTTTGTCATAGTTCAGTAATAAATTATAATGAAAATAATTTGAAAAAGTTACTTTTATTTCTTTTGAGTCCTTGGTGTCTTTCTTACTATGAATTCTGTACATTCTTTAAATTGTCTTTTAATATATAAATACTGACCTCCGACTGAAGACCATGCCCACTGAAAACATGAAGAAAACCCAGCAGCCTTGAACGGGAACAGCAATAAGCCCCATACTAAACCTATGGTGCATGTAGAATGAAAGATATGCAGGACAGGGTTCTTTCTCTAGCTGCTTGACAGCTAGTGTGGAAAAGGAAATCTTGTGTGTCAAACCATAGGGTTTTCTGACTATTAGTTTCAATGTTTGTTTTTGCTTAAAAGCACATTCAGGAATTTATTTTGTACTTCTGGGGGGTTCAGGAAAAAAGTCCTGCTTACTTTGCTAAATAAGTCAGGCAGTAAAGTTCTGAAAAAAAAATTGAAACTAAAGTATTTATAAACTCACATTTTAATATGAGCTTAAAAGAAGCTTACTTAGGAATTCAGTTGAGATTACTCAAAGCAAAATGTGTTTCTGGCAGCTACTGCATTGGAGATGTAGCTTAAACATATGAAAAATATTCAGAAATTGCAAACCTCATTCTCATGAAGGCTTTTTTTCATTTCTTTTATTCATAGTTGTGGTGTATTTGGGGTTATTCATTTATTGTTAGTGCAATAAAGACAGAAGGGATATTACATCTATATTTTCTAGAAATGGATTTGTATTTGTTGTGGTTTTGTCAATCTATTTCATACTGTTTCAAAAGAATAAAACCACATTTTCAAAATGTTTCTGTTCTTGACAGGTATAGAATGAAATAATACGTTTCCAAGCACTAAGGGAAACAGGTGAAAGTAACATACAGAAAATAACACTGTTATTTTTATTTTTAATCTCAGGATAATAAACAGGTATTAATTCTATATTTATCATGTGGTTTGCAGTCCTCCTTTTGTTTTAATGGTGTAGTAGCAGTAGTTTCTATTCTTGCAGTCAATATGCTTGCGTAAGTAAAAATTTCATTTTACAGAAGCAGAAAGTAGGTACTTTATGACATGTTGTATTTATTTATTAGATCATCATTTATTAGAAGTTCAATAAACTTTGGATTTTTTTTTTTGAGATGCATGCTCGATTCTTAGAAAACTTGTTAGTTAGTAAACCAAAGCACTGTTGCGGATTTAAGAAAAATAAATATCATCACTTTAATATGACAGTGTTATTTTTTACTCTAATTCTAGATCTGTGATGTAAAAAGCCTGTACAGCCACTAGTATAAACAAGGAACTGATATAAATGAATGGCATTCCATTGACTTTATTGTCAAATCTGTTATTTTATATCAGCTACCTTTTATATCTGTCCTCCATTCTTAGGATGTTGATGCCAGTCACTTTTTGCTTGAAAAAACGATCCCAAAAATAAATAAATGCCTGTCTGAAGTGACCCAGGCCTTCACATCAGCTGTGATCACACCAGAGTAGTCAGCCCTTTCCTATTTGCTAGACCTTCTGCAAGAACTGTTATTGCTTTTCAGTTTTTCTTTACTGTATTTGTTATATCCTGAATTATTCTGGAAGGCAGTTTGATCGCCTAATTTATGGTAACTATTGCTGGGGAAGAAAAATTTCAAACTAAAACCAAACAAAAGCTATTTTCCTCTTTGATGTTGAAGAGTGGGTAAACAGCTGCAATGCTCTGTACATTTGCCTACCTGGCATTAGTTCTGGTTGCAGGGACAGAGCAAATAAACTAGTGTTTTAAAGTAACCTGGGTCCATTTAGGTGTTGGTGTTCAGTTGTGATAAAATGCTGAAGATTAGAGAAGAAAAATCAGAGAGAAGTCCTGTAGAAAAGCAGTGACTTTGTTGCCTAAAGAAAGCCTGGCTGTGTTATTTGTGTCAGGGATTTAGGTAGATGGCTAAGACCTTCCATTTCTCAGGTTGTCACTGAACAAAATGATTTGGATTTTGACACTGTACAGGCAGTCCAACATACCCATGGCTGGCAGAATGGAGAAGGAGATGAAAGAGGAGGAGGAAGAGGAGGGGAGGTTGAGGTGCAGAGAGCAGTCTCTGACTTCTGAGCCTTTCTCTTGCTGTTTCTCTGGACTGAACTCTCATCCTGCAGAGATATTGCCAACGTCACCTTGTTTCTGTGGTCAGTAGCGTGAGGCAGGCTCTACTAAAACATAGAGTATTTGTCTGTACCAGGCATCCCAGGTGGCCTGGTTTCAACAGGAAAGGGCCTCACCTGATGATGAAAAAAAGAGATGCTTCTCCTCAGTTGACCCCTGCTATGAAATTTGAAGTATTACCTGACCTCTGAAAATGTCTGAGCAGCAAACTGTCATGTCACATGAACTAGGACAAACTACTCCATTAAATCAACA